TCTACAATTTTGCCATAGGAATGTTGCCTGTTTGCTACCTTGGTGTGCCTCTCATTTCAACAAAGCTTATTTTGCATGATTGCTCCATTCTTATCGAGCGTGTTGAGGCTAGAATTAGAGCTTGGGAGAACAAGGTCCTCTCTTTTGCCGGTCGTTTACAACTTGTTCAATCTATTCTCTGTAGTATGCAAGTTTTGGGCATCACACCTCATGCTCCCTAAGAAAATTCTTTGCGATATTGAGTGAAGGGTTCGAAAATTCTTATGGTTTGGTAAGCTTTTTGGTCATTGTGTTGCTAAAGTTTCTTGGGATGATGTGTGTCTTCCTAAATATTTAGGAGAACTTGGGATTAAAAAATTGATTGATTGGAATAAAGCGCTTATGGTTAGACACATTTGGAACTTGCTCACCGATGAAGACAATATTTGGTCTATCTGGGCTAGAATCTATCTTTGAGAAATATGAACTTTTGGAAGATTAAGATCCCCCAAAACTGCTCGTGGAATTGGAGGAAGCTTTTCCGATTGAGAGATTTTGTTTGGCTCTTCTTCTTCCACAAAATTGGAGACGGTAGGGGAACATCTCTTTGGTATGATAATTGGCATCCTTTAGGTCCTCTTGTTATCAATTGGAGTAGCCATATCATTGCTGAGTCTGGGCTTCCAAAAATTGCTTTGGTTTGCAATATTTGGAATGGTTCTAATTGGTGCTGGCCTAATAATTCTTCTCATGAGTTGGAAATTCAAATTTCTATGTCTAATATTGTGCCAAATCGTAGCTTGGGTGATATGATTCGATGGACTCCTTCATCGTTTGGCATTTACTCTGCTGCTTCTGCTTGAGATAAGTTTCGGCAATCCAAGCCTACAGTTGGTTGGTCTAAGCTTGTTTGGTATAATCAAAGTATTCCCAAGATGAGCTTCATTCTTTGGTTGGCTATTAAATGCAAGCTTTCTACTATGGATAGAATTTTAACTTTTGCTCCGTCAGTTCCTGTCACTTGTGTACTCTACTCTAGTGCTACGGAGTCCCATTGCCACCTCTTCTTTGAGTGTCCTTTTACCAATGGTATTTGATCTTTGGTGCTATTCAAGTGCGGTGTCCCTTGGCTAAGTCTCCCTTGGCCTCCTTTTGTCATGTGGGCTACTAGCCGTTGCAAGGCAAAATCTCTGTCTTCAATAGTTTTGAAGTTAAGTCTTGCTATTACAATATATTATGTTTGGAGGGAGCGGAACAACCGTATAGTCAAGAACTCAAGTCAATCTGCTGCGGTGGTTCTCAAGTCAATTAAGTCCACCATTAGATTTCGATTGAGTTCTTTGAAAATCACCCATTCCGCTGCTAATAACTCTACGGGAATGGAATATAACTATGAATAGTTAGTGTTTTTTTTTTTGCTGCTTTGATGCAGCGTTGTTAGCTTTTCTGTCTATTTTTCTTTTAGCTGCATCTCTTTGTTGCGTGTTTGTATTTTCAGCTACTCTTTACTGCTTGTATTCTATTTTTCTCATCAATATATTTTATTTACCAAAAAAAAAAAAAAAATCTTACTTGAGGGATAACTTGTGGAACCCACTTTATAAATTTTTCAATGATGCGAACTGTTCATATTTTAATGCATCATTCATATTATCAATGCAAGAAATTAGACAAATGCAAAATCATTAAGACATTCAGTTGTAGTGAAAAAAAATAGACGAATATTGTGCTTCAAAGAAACACTAAAAAAGTGTGAATAGCACCACCCATCCATTAAAGACATGCCCTAAAATGGAACCACTTCCGGTCAGAGTTTCTGAATCTTGGAACCGTACTGTTTGATGATCTACTCTAGACTCGGTGCTTTATCCATAAATGAAATTATCCATATTCAGTGCTTTCTCCATAAATGGATAATTCAGTGCTTTATCCATATTCAGTGCTTTATCCATAAATGGGATTATTCCATGACTACTGTGCTTAAAGTAGTATAGATGTCCTTCCAAATTATCTCCCAAACCCAATTAAGTTGTCCGCCATGTACAAAAATTTTCAAAGAAAAAAGCAAGCAACAAATGCCATGGTGTGTATCTTGGTTCAATCTTGTTCATATATATCAGATGGCTTTACTCAAGACTCAATTCAGCAGAGATTCTAGCGAAGGATAATAATGGTTTCATATTTGTAAGCAGAACGGGGGACATATATTTGTTGAGGAATCGTCCAGGCTGGATCAGACATTCCCTGTTCAAACCAAAATAATCTGATCAGATCCAGATATATAGCAGATAAACCTGCATACAAGTTAATGCTATACAAGTAAAACTGCTGGGAGTACCATATAGCATTACTCATACTAAAATTTCGTAAAAGTACATAGATTCTTAGATTAGAGAACATCTCCGAGGACAAAGCAAATGTTTGAGGCAGATGGTGTCATTTGATTTGGAAATCTATTTGTTGTACTTTTCCTTCAACATTGCAGTGATTAAAAACTTGTCACGGACAAGGGATGAGGCAAATAGTTACCCAAATGCCCTAGAGAACATCACTTTTTTAGTAAAATGTTGTCATGTTGTCGTTGTTCTTATCGATATTATCTGTACTTAATAGCTATATGCTCTCAATTGGTGATATTCATGTCACCAAAACCCCAAAAAAACATTTAGAGGAAATGTACCATCAAAGCCCCGCAATTTACGTGTTAAGAGACTATTTGGCTAATGAATAAGAAACTCTAGTTAATAAGAAACTAGTGAATTAGAAACCCCAAAATTATGTTTCATGTTTTTGAATGAATAAGTCCTGTACATTAGGGTAGTTCTACTGCATCCAAAATATTGCTCATGACTTCAATATGCTAATTTTCCTCTAAGAAATCTGATCGTGTCAAACCGGGACTTTCTTGAAATTGGGTTTTACATAAACTGAGTAGGGAAATCTGTGGGCATCATCAATATTAACACCACCAACGGTCAATCTGTGGCCAACCTCAATGATCACTGATCGTCCATGCCCATTAATATCAGTAACCACAAAAAAAATGCGTGGCTATTGGTCAAATTTCTAGTAGTGAAATCGACCCGACATAATACTTAACATCCTAACCTACTTGGTTTGGATCTATAATATTGAGACGCATTCAAAATCCTAACGTCCCAAACAATACATGACCTAATCAATGCATTATATATATGATCCGAAGGGGAAACCACTATATATACAGTATAATTAAGATCCACGGCCAGCTCTTGTACAATCAAGATTAAAATAGATTGAGTTTGGTCCATGCAAATATTTTCAAGCATACACAAAAAAACCCCATGTCTTTAGTAAAATTTGCGTTGTATGCCCGTTTCTATATACTGTACCGATTATCTCCTTTGTCCTTTTTTTTTTGTTTTCACCATGAAGGTTTCAGACGTCGCTTCGTTTTTTAAGATGATGCTTTTGTTCCTGATTTTTGTGTGGGTTTTGGATGAGCCGTTTTGATAATTCCTTTTATTCGGAGGCGAATGCATGTATGGAACATGGTGGTCCCAGGACCATCTAGAAGTTTGAAGAAGTGCACATGAGGATCTCCGAGGACCACTCAATGGTCTAGACAGGTGGTGGAAGAGAGAAGACCACCATGACTGTGCAGATGTTGTGGAACATGAGATCTGAACCAAGAAGAAAGACTACCATGATTCTGTTGTTCTTGTACCTTGGTTTCAATGAAGAATAAAGACTTTCTCTCTCCATTTCCCGCTTAGCCAACTCCCCATTTTTTTTAATTGTTTTCCAATCAGGTTGTATCACCCAACATTTTAATTAATAGAGGATGAGGTACTTCTTAACCAATAGTTTTTATATCATATGTTTGAAACATAATTTCTTTTAAAATTCACTATAAATTCTTGCAATGCAACATCTCAAAAATATTTCAAGTATTACGAACTTGTAATCACTTGAGATTTCATCTCATACAATCACATTTACTAAAATACGAAAGTGACAATTATGCTATTTTTGTATGTTATATGTTAAATGATAAACCTAATTAAAATAATAAACTCAAATTCTCAATACAAATATAGTTTTTTAAGTATAAATAGGCACTTATTCATATGATATATAACAAATTTACTTAAAACCGTCTAGATCCCGCCCCATCTAGGTGGATAGGCGCTAAGTCCCACCACCCGATTAGTGTACTTTGATTATGACCACCCGATGTTAGATCCGTCACTGCTTGTATTGATCTTATGATGCTTTATGCTTATTTCGTTTTGAAAATATATATATATATATATATATTTTTTTTTTTTTGTTAAACCTACTTTGTGAGTGCACGTATCTAAATTTAATTGCTCGTCCTTAAGAAAAAAAAAAAGAATTCAGAAGGATATGGTAATGCTGTAAACAGGTACTGGATCTTCTCCGAATCCACCAAAACTAAGCCACCTAATCAATTAATCCGGAGCGTTGAAATTTGATTTAACGGATACAAACATAGAATTTTTTAAAAGTTATAATAATTGTAATCGTTTGATCAAATTTCAATAACCCGAATTAATTGATTAGGTGGCTTAATTTTAATGGATCCGGTGGGGATTCGGTTACCTGTAAACATGCTGTATTGCTGTGCATGTTAGGTAATTACGTATACGTAGCATGGAAATTAAACCGACAGTGTGACACCCAACATCAAAAATATAAAATAAAATAAAATAAAGTGAACAAAGAAAATGACCCTGCACCCTCATGAGATAAAAATAATAAATAAAAATTGACCAGCACTATTCCCTATTTGTCACTAAATAAATCTTATAAACTAACCATAAATATCCCCTAAAATTAATTAATAACATAAATATAACCTTCAATAAATCTTATAAACTAGAAAAAATAAATAAATCTTATAAACTAACCATAAATATCCCTAAAATTAATTAATACCACAAATATAACCTTCAATATATCTTATAACTAACCATAAATATCCCCTAAAATTAATTAATACCATAAATATAACCTTAAAAAAAGGCCACAACTCTCTCTCCCTCTCTCTCCCCTCTAACCCCGAAGACTTGTTCAAAATACGAGTTTTTTCTCTGCCAATCTCTTCCAATGGATCTCCAACCCTCTCATCAACCTCAGAAGCTTCATAATTTCCCCTTTTCATTTCTAATCGGAAGAGAACTTCGTTACGGACTCTCTTTCTTCCTTCTCCTCGTCTCTTCCTTGTTTATTCTCAGACTCGTAACCCCATTCGACTCTCAGTTTCTATCCGATCATTTGGGTTTCTTATCCCAAATCCTACAGAATAATAATCAAAATTTGTCTCCGGGAACTTGTGATTATTCCTACGGCAGATGGGTCCACGACGAAACTCATCCGCTTCAGTCCTACACCGAGGACTGCCCGTTTCTCGACCCTGGCTTCCGGTGCAGCCAGAGTGGTCGAAAAGACCAAGGTTATCGGAGATGGCGCTGGCAACCGGCTGGCTGTGACGTTTTGAGGTGAGTTTGTCGTGGAGTTTTCAGAAAGTTTTGCATGGTACTTCACACTGTCATGCATACATTAAGTCTCTTTGTTGCGTTTAGGTTTTCATACATATAAATTAGCGACAATTTAGGTTAAACTCTTGAAAACCACAAGCTTTAGGAGTAGAATACTCCTTAGAAATGAACATAAAAAAATAACTATACTAGGACATTTTTGTAATTTAGATGTTGAGTGTAGCTTCTTTCGGAGTGCAGGTTTCTAATTCGTCTGGTAGAGCACTTACTTATGCACTCGTAACAGAAGTTTGATTTCTGCTCTCTTCTCTTGTGCTCTAAATTAAAGAGTTTTAGTTCTCTCTCCTCGTGGTCTCAGATTTAACGCAAGCGACTTCTTGGAAAGAAGCAGAAACGGACGGATAGTATTTGCCGGAGACTCAATCGGGAGGAACCAGTGGGAATCTATGCTATGCATGCTTGCGAAAGGGGTGTCCAAGAAGTCCAGAATCTACGAAGTAAATGGGAACCCCATAACAAAACATAGGGGTTTTCTGTCGATACGGTTCCAGGACTATAACCTCACAGTTGAATATTATAGGGCACCGTTCCTTGTGGTTGTAGGACACCCACCCAAAAATTCACCAAGTCAGGTCAGGACCACGGTTAAGCTCGACCAAATCCATTGGTACTCCGAAAAATGGGTTGGAGCAGATGTTCTAATTTTCAGTGCAGGGCACTGGTGGAACGAAGACAAAACAGCAAAGATGTACGACACTGGCTAGTTCCCTAAACTCGCCTCCCGTGTTTCCAATCTAAATATCTGACATGTTATGTTGTCAAACTATTAATCTGCACCGCATTTACAAAATGTTTCACCTAATCAATGACACAAATTAAAAGTTTGACAATATAACAAGCCGCACCGTTAAGTTATCGACTTTTCATTTTCCAATCACAACCGGCCATCTTGTGTTTCAGGGGCTGCTACTTTGAGGAAGACGGGAAAGTGAATCTGACAATGGGTGTTATGGAAGCATTCAGGAGGTCTATACAAACATGGAAGTCTTGGGTGCTCAAGAATTTAGACCCTGAAAGGACTCGGGTTTTCTTCCGAAGCTACTCTCCGGTACATTACAGGCAAGTACAAACTGCTATCCGACTATGAAAATTTCAATTTACATTCTTCCACACTATGGGAACCAAAAGAATGAAAGGCAATTAGTGTAACTTGTGTGACTTTACAACTTGCTGTTCCTCAATAGTTGCCGCCAAACATGGCGTAAAAGGAAGGAATTGACGATTAATGAATCGATGAGGTTTTAACATGCCAAGTTGCAGGAACGGCACATGGAATGAAGGGGGGCTGTGTGATACCTATTTGGGGCCAGAAACAGACTACAAAAATCTTGAAGCTGACCCAGTGAATAATCTATACATATCTGAATCAATCAAACAGTTGGAATATGAAAACTGGAAGGTCCAGTTCTTAAACATCACGTATCTAACAGAGTTCAGGAAGGATGGTCACCCCTCAAAGTATCGTGAGCCAGGGACTCCGGCTGATGCTCCACAGGACTGCAGCCACTGGTGCTTACCCGGAGTGCCTGACACATGGAATGAACTTATTTACGCTACTCTACTGGCAAAAGGATTCAGAACCAAGTAAAAGAAAACGTCAGTGTACCTCAGATTTGAAAATTTATTTACGAACTGTACATAATCGGCATTGCCTTCTATTCAGGCTAGTTCCTCCACGCTTACGTTGGAACTGTCTTCACTGCTTTCCATTTCCTTCAATTTCTCAACCTGCCTCAGGAGATTCAACCTTTCCGGACCATATGTTGATGGTATCTGTCAAAGAAACATATTATGCACGTTAACAAACACAAATCCGGTTCTCATGAAGAGTGAAGGAAATGAAACTCTTGGAACTAAAAGCCACAAACCAGAGCTGGTACATATCTCTGAATAGCAGCCAACATTGCTGCATGTCCAACCGCAGTGACCTGCGATACACAAGTTATCTCTATGTTTAAGTTCCAAAGGGGTTTAGAAAAAGTGTCAGGTGAAACAGCTAAATCATTCCTTTTTTTTAATTTCAAGGTACAAAATCATTTTTATTTCTTTTCTTCGCCTTACGATTGAAGATACATCAAGCCAATTATGAAACCCCTTCCACCATGTCAAAGGTAAGCTTTTATATACGTTATTCATTTGCAACGGCACAACAATGCAACATAAACAGAATATCTGAAGCACGCCTTGTTTTATGACCATAAACCTCCTCAAATGATAAAAACACATCAGCCGGATGAAGAACTATGGTGAGAATCCTATCACTTTATAAGTTTTTTTTTGCCAGAATCATTCATGTGTCAATATAAGGCTTACAAAGTAAGATACGAGGAAGAAATCTCACCGGAAGAAGCATTAAAACACCAATAGGAACAACTGATGCTAAGTCGGTCAGAGTTCTCTGTAGAACTTTCTTTTCTTTTTCTGTCAGTTCATCTCCAATCAAGACCCTTCTAAGCAACCCCGTAGCACCAACATCAATAGCTAGCAATTGAGTTCCTTGCCACACATCCTGCCAATCAATTTTGAGACGAAACAAAAAAAAAATTATGAAAAGGAAATTACAATCTGTGGAAAACTCCACAGCAAGAGATGATGAAACTAATAAACTCATATGTTAAGAGTAAGAGTCGACATCCTGCTCATAATTACGGACAAATAATAATGGAGACATCCACATGCCATTTAAAGATATCCTGTATCTTAATTGGTTTGGTGGCAACTAAAATGGATGCGGTTAAAGGAGGCGTAGTCCTCATTCTGAATGATTTTCTAGTCTTAAGTATTAAACAATTAGAGCAAAAACAACATTAAAGTTCCATTTCCCACCTAATTTTTAGCCAAAGTGTAGTAAAAAATGTCTAACTAGTTTACAAAGGTCATCAATTGCCTACTCCGGCCAGAAAAAATTCATACCGTGCTAGCTTCTTTTAGCTTGTCAATCGATTTTTCAATGATATTCTCTTTCTTCAGAACCTGGACTAGTTGAGCAGCTCCAACATCATCCTCGTAGTTAGGACTATCATCAGCAGGCTTAAGATCCTGATTAAAAATATCCATAGCAACATAAGAATATCTTAAACCAATAAGAGTTCAAAAGTCAGTCTCACTAGTAGGAATTGTTTCTGATCAAATTTCTTTCTTTTTATATTCTCCCGAAGAATCAAATTTCTTTCTTTTTATATTCTCCCGAAGAATATGGTACCAAGTTGCACGCTTTTGTGAGATATACCTCCTCATTTTCAGGATGATCAGCACTCCTTTGCACCCGTTTTTCAAGTTCTATCAGCTCATTCCGTAAAAGCTCAAAACGCTGGATCCTATTTGATTCTGGGTCTTCAAATTCAAGACTTGAAACAGTCTGCTCAATAAGTTCATTATCCTGTGTTAAAAGGACGCAAACATGAAGCAACTTGGTTTGAGAAATTGCACATTTCCAATTACTAACACCAAAATAGATATATGCTCTTCAATCAAGTAAGGAAATAACAAAAGGGAACAATCTCATAAATGAGAAAGCCAAAGGTTCAGTTACAAAGGGTTCTATGCACTCAAAAGCTAAGCACATGCCTTTATGGTTTTTTTTGCATGCCATGTTGCTTAGCCAAGAACAGTGAGTGAAAGACACAGCTATTCGATCTTCCTATTAAGAGGCAAGACAGACTAGGAAACCACTAGTCAATAATTAACACCCTAACTTCTCAACCGCATTTTCATAAAGATAACAAAAACAAGGAACACAAAGTAATATAACACAGGGCCACTAAGAGAAGCAGCTAGGAACCCAAAGTATATATCATGCTAATGCAAACAAACACTGCCAGTGGCAACTTCAACCTGATTGTTCTATTGACAAATGACCTTGCCCTAACAGGGAAAAAAAACATATTGGAGTAACAATAAGCGTTGTTAACTCTAGGTCAAAACAGATCTAAATTTGAGCCAGCAGCATACACAATCTTCTTTTAGATACAAGAGTCCAGTTAAAAGTTAATACATTTGGAAATTAGATAGCGCAATCTTATGAAAAAATCAATGAAATCCTTGTGAAGAAGGGCCATACAGATTGATCCACAATCAACCCAGGATTGGGCTTTCCAGTTGGAGGGCGCAATAGGAAGCTCCACAAACCGCGAGAGTTACTGGCAGCTCTAGAAATAAATTTTGAAATGGGATGTGCTTATCAGAATCCAACCAAAAAGAAAAAAAGAGCTAGGTCATGGAATAATAAAAGCTTCATAATAAAAAACCTAAGCTTCATACCTGTTGCCCTCATTCTTTCTGCTTTTCCCTTTAAAGAACTGTTGCTGCTTGTTAGTAGAAGACTGGGAGAGATTACCTTCCTGGATGACAAGAACAAAAGTACAACTAAGACAAGTGAGAATTCACAAAATCCAAATAGGGTAAAATGTCACAATAACTACACAAGTGAACCAAAGAATGGAGCTTCATAAGAGAATCTACAATTACAGGTGCAATATGTTGGTCTGAATAGAGCAACTTACAAGATACAGTAGGTAAATTTGGGAGGAAGCCAAACAACATAATCTAAAAAACCAGGCAAAGGCACCATCACTTTTGGTGGTCTACATCGTCAAGTTTTCTATCTAATACAGACACCTATAACTATTAAGACACTTGTGGCTAATTATTAGCCTATATCTTTTATGCCAACATCAAAAAGCCAAGACATCTATATGTAGAAAATCTGAATAAATTGAAAGGGAAAAAAACGAAAAAGCCCTACAAAGTTCACCAACTATTAAGTTATAAATTGGTTGAATGGCACACATTCATAAGATGTTCGTGGTATGGTCCAAATATTATAATCATGAGCAAGATACTATACAAAACTGAAAAGAAAAAAAAAAAAAAAAAAAAACCTGCTGAAGGGAAGCTGCTTTTGCTCTGAAAGATGCCTCCAGAAATTCAGCCTCTTTTTTAAGCTTCCTTATCTTCTCAAGGTCAGAACAAGCAGCTTTTATATGCTCTTTTCCTGAGTTAGAATTTGATGCATGTAAATCCTGAAGCAATTTTTCTAGTCTTATGACGGCTCCTTCAACACTCTCCAAGGCCTGACACCAAATGCCAATTCCACAATTTACTCAGAGGCATTCAACAAGTTCCAAATCAAAAGAATAAGCTTGACTGGAGACCTTCTTTTAGTTTTGACCAGTACCACAAATGGAATGAGGAACCTGTTCATGTAGCTTACCACTTACAGCAGAGCACTGCAATGACATGGCTCAGAACTATTGTGTAGATTAATTTTACCATCATGCAAATTTATTGAAAACCAGATCACAAAAGCTAATTAATAATATCAATAAATCAATAGAAAAAAAGTGAACTGCAAAAGCACAATGAGTAGGTACATATAGATCAAAGACACCTTTCATTGCTTTAAAGTATTAAAATTCTATGGATTTGCACCAGAACCAAGATACGAAGTAAAAATAAACCTGTTCCTATTGGTACAGTGTGGTGGCAAATCCACCCACATCCAAGAGCTTGTCCAGGTTCAAGCCCCAGTACTATCCCAAATATTGCCCAACAAAATAAGGATTGTTAAATAGCTTTCATTTGAGGTGCTAAGTATTAAAAGGAAGTATGGAGCCCATGAAACCAATTATGCATGATTAACCCAAACGTTTAGATGGAGAAATAGTGAGTAAAAACTAACAACAAAAGGTATAAGTGCACTGCACTGTGCAATGATCATAACATAAAGGGAATAAGCCCACCTTGTCAAAAGTATCCAATTCTTTCTCAGCTGGTGTACGAGTTCCAGACCTAGTCCTCTCAACAATGTTATTGCCACCGCTTTTCATATTTTCATTCCTGCATCACAGTTTAAAAGGTGTAATCTCCAACTCTTATGTGATAAAAATTAGTGTTACAGGCAGGAAAAAACGCTTCACTTGAGGAGGCAGGGATCTTTCTATTATACTAGAAACCATTAAAAAACCAACAACACGAGAGAGAGAGAGAGAGAGATGACATTGCTGCATTCATTAACTTACTTTAATATACCGCGTTCTTCCATACACTCCACTAATTTGTTGTGCCTAAGCATTGAAGATAGAAAAAAACTGTCATTTAAAAAAAAAAAATGAAGCCACTTATGGTTCAAATCACTATGCACCACATGTTTGCATACCCTCTAGACAAGAATCTCGCTGCCTTAACATTAGAAGGGTCCTCCAGCCATTTACTGTATTTAATAAAACTCTGCATCCATTGGAAACATACTTCTAAAGCTTGGGGGATTGCTTCATAATTGGGAGGTCCCTCCCATTTACTTTGATGCCCATGTGATTGTTTAGGGGTGCCTGAAATGCCTGGGTAAAATGGAAGCCAGTCCAGCTCTTCACAGACTACCTGTGGAACTTATGCATCATTAATTTGATATCATATTTAAACCACAAAAGAGTATCCACAAGATATTACAAGACATGCTAACCTCTACATACAATTGATAAGAACTTATTGACGAAAGCTGAGGATAGTATAAGATGCTGCCCCCAATCAAGAACCTGCACATATTGAAAATACTAAATCCATAACCAAACCAAAACACAATTACAAACTTATGTATAGTCAGTCAAAAAAAGTCCAGGTATACCTCACAAAGCCTCCAATCGGATCAGCTAACACATCAAATCCATTTGCTGATAGAAAGGACTGCGTGCTTCTACCCAAGGCAATAAAGAATC